TAGATAGATAGATAGATAGAGAGATATATGTGTATATATATATATACATATATACATATATATACATATATATATATATATATATTATTTGTTTTTTAAATAGGGTTTACAGGGTTTGAGGGTTTAGGATTTAAGAGGGTTTAGGGCTTGAGGGTTTAGGATTTAGGGGGTTCCTTGCCTCCCACCTAGCTAGGACGAGCCCGCATTGCAGGGTTTAGTCAGAGAAACAGCGGACGTTGGCGCGTTCGCGTCATTGGCATACAACACCTTCAAGGCACCACTATACATGTCGCTGCTGTTTTGGCAAAGCACTTCAAAGGGGATTTAGGGTTTGAGGTCTAAGAGCTTGGGATAGGGGCCTCAATGTTTAGAAGAGGGTTATGGGGGCATGCTCGACTATAGTAATGAGTTGCCCCCAAGGAAGTCCCAAGGAAATAGCATTACTAATTACTCCGACCTGCCTCCCCTGTGCCCGAATGGAGTTTAGGGTTTGTTTCGTCTTCGGGCTAGTCGGGTTTAGGGTTTAGGGTATGGGGATGAGGCGAATGAATGGGACAAGTTCCAAACTCCTCGAGATACGGACCCTCGGCACAGCCGAGTTGTTGACCTTTGCCCTTTGCTGCCAATACAACGGAAGATGCAGCTTGGATGAGGGACACGGAGCTAAGTTCGACAACTGCCCCTGATGCTTTCTAGCTGCCATGTCGTTTTGAAGTTGCATAGTTAGCAGGGTCCTGCAAACACCGCAGGTATGCCGGCTCCCAAATTTCTCGGAGTAGCGTTTTCCCTGCGAAGCCCTTGTTTTGACTTCTTTTTCTGCAATGAGCTCTGGCTGTGGATGTCTGAGTAAGACATAAGGGCACATGTCGAATTTCTGCACCAGAAGTCGCAGAATATGGAATCAAAGTGAGCACCAACAGTTGGCAATGTCTACCAGCTAGGCCACTTGGTAAACAAACATCGCCTCCCAGAAGCAAAGTCTACGTGCAATGACACACCCCAACACATCTTGTTGCCCTTCGTCTACGTGCCCTGCTTGAGCCCTACGCTTTTAGTAGCTGCACCAGTGCCAGGTAAACAAATCCTCGGAACTCCTACAACTCGAGCTGCTGTTACGAAGATCTGGTCAGTCAGGGCAGAGCTCTTGAATACCAATCCCATAATAAGCCTCCCATGGCCGCCTAAGTCCTTGTTGGGTGCTCCAGTCAAGCCTAACGTGCCCGAACAATTTCTCTAACCGATCAAACCAAGCCCCTTACACCATCCTAGACTCCCGCTTTGCCCCAGTCGCAATGGGTCGCCTCAACTTCGTCCGGTCGAGCAGGTTAATCCTAGTACTCAAGAACCGATGGTAGACGAAAGCTCCTTCTTAAAGGATTGTCTGTTAAGGGTTTTGTGCTCACTTTCTGCTGGAACCCTTGGAAAGGCTGCCCGTCCATCAGGCAGAAGCGCCCGAAGGCCTGCTCAGAGCAGGGGTATGGGTACCCCAGGTTAATTTCGAAGTCTTGTTCGCGCTTGTCTTCTGGACGCATCTGGGGGGTCTATAATAGGCTCCTAGCTCGAGCTGTTTTAGAACTTCACAGACACAGACTCGTGTAGAATAAATGACAACCTATAGTCTCCAGTGTAGTTCCTTTTTGGGCATACCTTCTATAGTAGATATTT